AGCCGAATGGATCAAGCAGAAGAAAGGGTATCAGAGGTCGAAGATCAACTTAATGAAACAAAACAACAAGACAAGAAAAAAGGATAAAAAGGAATGAGCAAAGTCTCCAAGCAATACGGGATTATGAGAAAAGAACTAATATACGCTTGATTGGTGTACCTGAATGTGACGGAGAGAATGAATTCAAGCTGGAAATACTCTCCAGGACATTATCCAGGAAAATTTTCCTAATTTAGCAAAGCAGGACACTATTCAACCCCAGGCAATACAGAGAACACCACAAAGATATTCCTCAAGAAGACCAACCCCAAGGCACATAATCGTTAGATTCACCAAGATCAAAACGAAGGAGAAAATATTAAGGGCAGCCAGAGAGAAAGATCAAGTTACCCATAAAGGTAAGCCTATTAGGCTTACAGCAGATCTCTCAACGGAAACCCTACAAGCTAGAAGAGAGTGGGGGCCAATATTCAATATACTTAATCAACAGAACTTTCAGCCCAAAATTTCATATCCTGCCAATTTAAGCTTTACATTTGAAGGAAAAATAAAATTTTTTAGGAACAAGCAAGTACTCAGAGATTTTATTACCACCAGGCCTGCTTTACAAGAACTTCTAAAAGAAGCACTATACACAGAAAGGAACAACCAGTATGACCCTTTCTAAAAATACACCAAAAAGTAAAGAGCATTAACATAAAGAAGAATTTTTATAAACAAAAGGACAAAATAGCCAGTTAATATCAAACGGCAGCAACCATAAATTTAAATCGACCAAATCTCCCAATCAAAAGATACAGACAAAATCTAATGGTATATCCAAAGATATACATAGACTCAAAATAAAGGGTTGAAAAAAAAAGTACCAACCAAATGGAGAGCAAAAATAAATAAATAAAAAGCAGGAGTTGCAATTTTCACATTTGACAAAATAGATTTCAAAGCTACAAGGATACAAGGATAAAAGGATTAATGTAATAATAAGAGATCTTAACACCCAGATACATAAGACCCATAATGAGATTTAGGTTCAACGAGACAGAAAATTGTTAACGATATCCAGGACTGGAACTAAGATCCAGAACAAATAAACTCAATAGAGCTCTCCATTTTAAACACACAAAATATACATTATCCACAAAATCTAACGATATATCTAAAGATATGCAAAGACTCAAAACAAGGGGATGGAAAAAAACCCACTAACCAAATGGAGAGCAAAAATAAATAAATAAAAAGCAGGAGTTGCAATTCTCACACTTAATAAAATAGATTTCAAAGCTACAAGGATGCAAGGGTAAAAGGATTAATGCAACAATAAGAGATCTTAACACCCAGATACATAAGACACATAATGAGATTTAGATTCAACGAGACAACAAATTGATAATGATATCCAGGACTTGAACTCAGAGCCAGAACAAATAAACACAATAGAGGTCTCCATTTTAAACACATAAAATATGCATTAACCACTTTAAACACTCAAAATATTGATCGGCCATTATTGAAACCCATTTTAGGAATGAAGTAATATTCCTTTTTCCCTCTTTTTCTTTTTTTCCCCTTCTTCTTCTCTAAAAAAAAAAAAAAAAAGAGAGAAAGAGGAGCTAAAAAAGAACTTCAGCCTTTAACAGCCTTTTTCTAAGTTATTCCCATGCTGCAGCTGGAGTTACTTTTCCTTTTTTCTTTTTGATGAAGTCTCACTCTGTCACCCAGGCTGGAGTGCAGTGGCGTGATCTCGGCTCACTGCAACCTCTGCCTCCGGGGTCCAAGAGATTCTCCTGCCTCAGCATCCCCAGTAGCTGGGACCACAGGCGTGTACCACCACGCCCAGCTAATTTTTTGTATTTTTAGTAGAGACAGGGTTTCACTGTGTTCGCCAGGGTGATCTCGATCTCCTGACCTCATGATCCGCCCGCCTCAGCCTCTGAAAGAAAAAAAAAAAAAAGAAATACTAACAACAAGTAATTCAAAAGAAGACAGGAACAATGGAACAGAACCAAAACACAGAGGACAAACAGAAACCACATAATACAATCATAGACGTAAATTCATCCATACCAATAATTACATTAAATGTAAACGATCTAAACATACCACTTAAAAAACAGAGATTGTCAGATTGGATAAAAAAGAAGACTCAAATATAAGCTGTCTACAAAGAGCTAATTTAAATATGGCATAGGTTAAAAAAGGAAACTATATAAAGCAAATATGATGAAATGATAGAACCAAGTGGTAGATACCTGTAAGTTAATTTTGTTACTTGCTATTATATTCTATATGTTTGAAATATTCATAATAATAAAAGGTGGTTGGATAATTTTTTACATAAATATTCTAGTTCTCTAGGGGAGGAAATAAAGAATGGTTAATGGATACAAGTGACAGCAAGATGGCAGGGTTAAGTTCTAGTGTTCTATAGCACTTAAGGGTGAATATGGTTAACAGTAATTAAATATATATGTTCAAAAGATGGAAGAAAGAATTTTTTTTTGGAAACAGAGTCTTACTCTGTCACTCAGGCTGGAGTGAAATGGAGTGATCTCAGCTCACTGCAACCCCTGCCTCCTGAGGTTAAGCAATTCTTGTGCCTCGGTCTCTCACACCTCTGTAGCTCTGTAGCAATTTTTTTTTTTAGATGGAGTCTTGCTCTGCCACGAGGCTGAAGTGCAGTGGCCCAATCTTGGCTCACTGCAATCTCCACCTCCCAGGTTCAAGTGATTCCCCTGCCTCAGCCTCCCGAGTAGCTGGGACTACAGGCGCTTGCCACCATACCTGCTAATTTTTGTTGTTGGTCAGTTTGATGTCGATCTTCTGACCTTATGATCCACCCACCTCGGTCTCCCAGAGTGCTGAGATTACAGATGTGAGCCACCATGCCTGGCTGCTCTGTACCAATTCTTGTGTCTCAGCCTCTTGTGCCTCAGATTCTCATGCCTCTATAGCTGGGATTATAGGCATGCACCATCATGCCTGGCTAACTTTTTGTATTTTCGGTAGAGATGGGGTTTTGCCATGTTGGCCAGGCTGGTCTTAAATTCCTGAGCTGAGGCAATCCACCTACCTCGATCTCCCAAAGTGCTGTAATTACAGATGTGAGCCACTGAGCCTGGCCTAAAAGAGAGGATTTTGATTGTCCATAACACAAAGAAATGATAAATGTTCAAGGTGATGGACATGCTAATTACCCTGATTTGATCATTATACATTGTATACATGTAACAAAATATCAGTCTGTGTTCCATAAATATGCACAATTATTGCATATCAACTAAAAATAAAAGAAAAAATATCAATGCCCTTTAGATGGGCATATAAGATCTTTAGATACCTGGCTCCAAACTGATGTCTCATCTTTTTCTCTCTAGTCCCTTACAACTAGACTGATATGGGGCCAGAGCTTAGGATCTGGAATCAGACTACCTAAACTCAAATTCTACTTCTTACCTGGTGATCATGTCCAAAGGACTTTAACTTTCTTAAACCTCAGAAGACTTCAACTGTAAAAGAAGTATAACAGTACCTAAGGGTTTATTTTGAGGAATAAATGTAATATTGTATCTAAGTAATGGCAAAATGGTTGGCACACAGGAATTGTTCCATGAACACGAGCTGTTATTAGCCAGATTGATTCACCTGGCTGAGTCACTCATTCCACTGTAGGTCATCCTAATTCCTTGCCTTTTACTACCAACAAAACAAAGATTGCAACACATTAATGGCTGGCAAAATGAGTTTATTGTGACCAGCATTAAAAAATTGTAATAAAATGACATACAACAGAATAGAATGGATTGGAATTTAACAGAATTGAAAAGAACAGAATAGAATAGTGTTGGAAATAGATGCTCAGTGCTGCAAAGAAAAATTAGCACTGAGACAAAGGATTTTTCAGCAATTCAATTTTTTCTTCCTGGACTGCAGGAAGGTTACCCTTGCTAGCCATTGTGCCGTGAAAGTACAATGAACAAAGGAAAAACACACAAATTTATCCCTTACACATTTGAGGCCGTCCTTCCTGCTGAGTCTGATATCCATTGGCCGGAGTCAGACCTCACAATTTAAACAAAAACCTGATTGGCTAAAAACTTAAAACTTTTTTAAACCGGTAAAAGCAATGGAGACCTGGGACATGCCTGTCCAGCACAGATATCTTGGTTAAAGTACAAGGACATAGAATATACTACATGCCTGTAAGCCTGGCATGTTTAACAGCTACCTAGGATAGGGCTTAACAAAATTATTAGCACACTTATTCTTTAACAAGAAAGGAAACTTTAAAAGGAACTTTTCTACTTTCCACAAATAGCATTTTTTAAAAAGTGAATTGTGTATAGTTAGGGTAACGATTGTTTCAGTGTGTGGGTATAAACATATTTGTTATTGTGGGTTTTGGCCAAAAGAAGCTTGAGAAACACTGGTTTCCATGATTCCTTTTGCCTTGAATAATAAAGCTTAGTGTCACCTGCCAATGAATTTTCAACAGCTCGTTGGAGCCCCACTGCCTTGAAAAGTTTTCACATAATTTTCCTTGGCTAGAATGCTAAACCTATGGAAACCACGAGTGGGTTTTAAACTAAGGAGTGATGAGATGTGATTTGCATTCTAAGAACAGGTGCTCCTGTGAAGAGGCAGCCTCAGGAGGGAGTGAGAGTAGAAGGGAGCCCACCTGTGGTCGTCTCAGCAACAGCAGAAGAACCTGGGCTGCTGGAGTAGCATTGGAGAGAAACAGGTTGATTTGAAAGTTATTCTGCAGGTAGAACGGACAGGTGAATTCTGTGAGATCCCCTGGGGTCCACTGAGCTCAGTGCCCAGGCTCAGCTCTTTCTGTGGATTCTTCTTGGTCAGCCTGCCCCCATTCCTCCAGGTGTGGCCCATGCCACTCCCTACGTTCAGAGTCCATTTTCTGATGCCCTCTTTCAGCTCTTTGCCTGCACTCATTTGTGACTGCCTGGTACTGCTATAAAGCCTCTGTTTGTGTCTCATCTCTCCAGGTGGCCTGGAGATGCTGGGGGTCCTTTCCTTTGTGGAGGTATCAGTATCAGAATGGAGTCACTTATGTCAAACACTAACAAAATGGAGGCGGAGGCCATGAAGAACAAGCCTACGTGAATACATGCCTGTAACAGGACTTGTCACAAGGAATCCCTGCACATATGCCTATGACAAGGACTATGCCAGGAACTCCTCAAATATGCAGGATTTGAGGTAAGCCATTTGCTCAAGACCAATTGCCCAACCATGGCAGCCTCCACCAATGAGACATTGCCAACTCCTGTCATCAGTGGTCTCTGTTTTCAAACAGCTTATGTGGAATTCTCCTTTTTTTTTTTTTTTTTTTTTTTGTCTTTAGAAGTTTTCTTTAGCCCCAATCTCTTTGGATACGTCTATGATTCATTATAGCCCATGTTCCCCAGGTTGTAATCCCCTGTGATTCCCAAATAAGCTCTTTCTGTGGAGATCCTATCTCTCTCTGTCATTATTTAGGTTGACACCTTTTATGTCTTGCACTGCAGTTGATGACACCCAGATTTGTACCTCCTGCTTGGACGTCCCCACCCCCAACTCCAAAATTCCTATCTGTCTACTCGGTATCTCTACTTGAACCACTGAGCGGCATCTCAGACTTAAAGTGCCCCAAACTGATATCCTGTGATGCCCCAAAGCTGCTCCTCCCCACCACCTCCTCCCCTCAGCCAGCGGCAGCAGCTTCATTCTTCTTTGGGCTTTATTCAGTCTCCCAACCTTGGAGCAATTCTTGACCCCTCTCTATTGCCCACACACCATATTCAGTGTGTTGGCAAATCCTTTGGCCTTGCCTTCCAAAGATATCCAGAATCTGCTCACTTCTCACCACCTCTCTGTCTCACTCTGCGTCAGGCCACCCTGTGTGTCACTTGCATCATCGCAGGAGCCTTGGATTGAGTCCTCCGGACCTTCTACCTCTTTGACTTCATCGTGTGCTACTCCAAGCCCCATGCTCTTCCTTGGACATACCTGGCATGCTCCTGGCAGAGCCTTTGCACTCGCTATTCCCTTTGTTGGGAAGTCTTTCCCCAGATATCTGCTCAGTTCCTTCCTTGTCTCTTTCAGTTCTCACTCAGATTCTCCTCAGTGAAGCCTTTCTGGCCATCCTCATTAAAATCAAATAACCCCACCCCTCTGCTCCCTCACCCGTTTCCCTCATTTCCCTCATTCATTTCCCCACTAGTCCTAATCACTCTCTAACATTCTCTATATTTTTTCTGATATATTTATTTATATTTCTTGTATAAACAAAATGATTTGTTTTACTGTCTATCTCTTCTTGCTAGAATGTAAACTCCACAAGGGTAGGAGTGCTTGCTTATTTTGTCACCATTGTGTCCCTGGCTCCTAAAATGCTGACAGTGTGGCCAGCTACATGCCCTCCTCTCTGCATTTTTTGAAATCCTTAATAAGTTGTGGACAAGACCCTCCCCTTTCATTTTATGCTAGACCTGGAAAATTATGGAGCAGGTTCTGACTTCCAGGCACATAGTAGGCATTCAATAAGTAATCTGTTGAATGAATGTAGAATGTGGTGAGATAGGAGGTTGCTGACTGGTTGACTGAATGGAGGGAGGGGTGATTACTTATTTATTCATGCATGCATTCATTCATTAATTGACTAACATTCAACAAATATTTACCTGATATCCTTAGGGATTAAATTTCTGTCCACTGATGGTGAGCCTCATGCATCGAGTTGTGCCCTCCATTGATTTGAGAGATTTTAGGAAGACAACACCCTGTGATGTAGGTTTGATTGTCTCCACTACCAGATGAGGATACTGAGAAGTTAAGGCACTGCCTGAGGTCACGTGGCTAGTAGAAGCCACAGGCAGGATTATGCCATGGCTGGCCAGGCTGAGCTGTGAGGGCAGCTCCCGTACTCTCGGCCTCCTCCTTCAGAATCCCTCCTCCTCACTCCCCATTCGTGGGCTGCTTCTCCCAGGATCAGGCAGCCTCTGCCCACCTTTTCTCACTTCACTCTTTCTCCTTGCTGAATTAGAAAGAATTGGCTCTCAGCTATTTGTTTCTTACTGTGGAGTTATCCATGTGTCACCTCTTGCAGGCAGAATTACATTCTGAAGGCATCGCTAACTGAGGTTGCTCCATGGGCAAGAACTCTTAGACCCCAGGAAGCAAACAGTAAGGCTCTGGAGTGAGGCAGGAGCCCCAAAACCCTGATGACACCCCAAGTAGGCACCTCCAAACCTGCTTACACTTCAGCCCAGGCCTCCAGTATAGAGATGGAAAATAGTCCCACTCTTGGTCATAGAGTCCAGAAAACTGCGAAATCCTGGGGAAATCCATTTTGAGTAATACCTTTTAGAAGAAGAAAAAATGGAAGTATTTATCATAGCATGGGTTTTGTTAGACAAAGATGGCAATTCAGGTGGAAACATAAATTTAACAACTCTTTAAATATGCATAGTTGACATCTCACAGAGTGGGGCTGGTGACTAAGCCAGAAGGTACTGTCTGCATCCTTGGCAACTTACAAATAAAAATGAGGACCAGACCTTAGTTAAGAAATGCATGAAAAACTTCTGCCATAGGAGCCACATAAAAAGATGGTGATTCCAAATATTTAAACTTAGCATTTGTCTTTGTGGTATCATTTGAAAATGGTGGGGTGCCTGAAATTCTCAGAACTTAAAAAACTCTTAAGTTTTTGTTTGTCTGTTTTGAGACAGGGTCTTACTCTGTTGCCCAGGCTGGAGTGCAGTGGTGCAATCGTAGCTCCCTGCAGCTTTGAACTTCTGGCCTCAAGGTATTCTCTGGAACACCTGGGACTACAGGTGCATGCCACCGTGCTAACTTTTATGATTTTTTTGTAGAGCTAAGGGTCTTACTGTGTTGCCCAAGCTAGTCTTGAGCTCCTGGCCTCAAGAGATACTCCCACCCTAGCCTCCCAAAGTGCTGGGATTTCAGGTGGGAGTCACCATGCCCGGTCAAAACTCTATGCACTCAAGTAACAAATATAAGAAACAGGTAAAAATATACAACGTAATAAATATAATACACAAATATATAAATATAATATTCTATATGTAAAATCATATGTACTTTATATATGAATATTATATACATAAAGTATATAATATATAAAATCAGAAATAAACATAAGCAATGTAAGTATTGAAATTACATTGTGATCTCACTTTCTGTAGTCAGACCTTTCCCACAGTACTAGGATGGTTTCATTGGCAAGTAAAAGAGACTGAACCCAAGCCAGCTTAGGACTTCAGGAAAATCAATTGATTGAATAAATGATTGATTGTTTCTGTGACTGAACACACTGCCTCACCTCCAGGCCTCCCTGGCTTGATGCCTAGAGGGGCAAAAGGAGCTTCTCTCTTCTTCCAGCAGTTGCATGATGAGCTCAGGCTGGCCTTACTTGGACACATGCCCCTCCGTTGGGCTTTTGAGTTAGCAGGAGGGATGGGGGGCTGATGAGCCAGACCTTGAGGGGGCCAGACACTGTGACTGAACCCCCCAGAATCAATACCGTCAGTGTTGGGGAGAAGCAGCTCCCCACAAAACAGGAAAAAGAAACAGTAATTGCCTATAACCTTGCTTTTCTTTCCATGTTGATAAGAGACACTTTCCCTGAGACTGACGGAAAGCACCACGTTATAAAGAACTAGTACTTTCTCTTAGCTGTTTTCATAATTCCAGGTGTTGTGTGTTCCAGTCAAAGGTTCAAGAAAAGAAAAATTTCCTAAGAGAGAGGATCAACTTCTTTATTTTGGGAACAGTCGGTAAAACGTGGTCTCTGGACTCAGGCTAACCTAGATTTCAATGCTGCCTCTCCTGTGGAGCGTAGGAACTTGGGAACGTAGGTCTGGTAACCCTTCACTTTCCCCATTTGTAAAACAGAGATAAAATTATACCCCTCTTAGTTTTGTGGTACAGATTAGATAAAATAACATGTATTACCAAATAGCACAGGTCTTGGTAGATTTTCTTTTATTTACTTTCTCCTTCAAATACCCACTGGGTAATTTTTTACCCCTTTAGAAGCCTTGGAAAAGCAGTGATACCAGATGCATTGCCTTATCTTATCACCCGTCACATTCATTATGCTGAAATCATCCATTTAAGTCTCTCTCTCTTTTATTTTCCATCAGGAGGCTGGTTCCTTGAGATCCAGGGCCGTGTGTTACCCATTTTTATGTCCCCAGTGTCAAACTTAATGCCTGGGAAAACAATAGGAATTCAATCAATGTGGAGCTGCTGAACTATTGAACCACCTGGTGGAGCTTTTGAGGGTGACCGATCGATGTTGCCTTTAGAAAAGTAAGACTGGTGGATTACACCCACACAGAGCCAAGTCAGACTATTTTCTGGAATTGGTTTAACCCGGGGTATGTATTTATCTGGACCTCAAAGGGAATGCTGATATGACCACGTCATCTTACAGGGAAATGGCAAGACAGGGAAGAGGTAACAGGGAGTTACGCTGCTGAGTTGGAATCTTCACTCTACCGCCTACTTGCTTGTGGAATCTTGAGCAAGTTTTTTGATATATTTCTACCGCAGTTTTCTCATCTTTAAAGTAGTACAGCAATAATACCAACCACACAGGACTATTGAGATAATTAAATGAGACAATATTAAAAAGAGCCACTGCCAGCTGGGCGTGATGGCTCATGCCTGTAGTTCCAGCACTTTGGGAAGCTGAAGCAGTTGGATCACTAGAACTCAGGAGTTTGAGACACCCATCTCTACAAAAATATGAAAAATATTACCTGGGCATGGTTGGCATTTGCATGTAGTCTCAGCTACTCAGGAAGCGGAGGTGGGAGGATCACTTGAACCTGGGAAGCAGAGGTTGCAATGAGCCAAGATTGTGCCACTGAACTCCAGCCTGAGACCCTGTTTCAAAGAAAAAAAAAGCCACTGCCTTGATACATCAGCCTATAATATGGAAGGGTCCCTGAACTGGGGCCACAGGTTTGCTTGGCAGGCACTGTGTTTGTAGGAGTACAGTCGTAGCTGCTGTAACAAAAAGACTCCAAAATACAGTGACTTACCAAGAGAGAAGTTGATGTTCCCATGTCACAGTCTGGAGGTCAGCAGGTCCTGACCTGGGGCAGCTCAGCATCCTTAATACATGCTTTCCATCTCTGTGTCTAAGGAGATGCTTCGGTTCTTGTTCTCTTCTTCAGCAGTGGAAAGGGGGAAAGGGACTGGGTGTGAGGGTTGATGATACTATCAATTTTTTGAGGGCAAGATCAAGATGTGACCCGCATCACTTCTGCTGCCTTTACCCAGTCACATGACCATAGCTACTGCAAGGGAGGCTGGGAAATGTAGTTTTTGGCCAGGCAGCCATGTTACCAGCTAAAATTTATACTAGAGAAGTATAGAAAAACAAAAATTGGGATACATCTGCCATAGTGACTTAGGACCTCATGTAAAAAGGCAAGAGTGCTAGTTACCTCTCAAAGAGCTCTTTGCTGGGTTCCCTTGGCAGCAAGTGCATTGTGCAAAATCTAACTCTCCATGAACCAGAAAGGAATTCAGGAAATGATTCAGGCTCCCTGGCTGACTCAAACACTCAGAATCCTGGAGAGAAAAGTAGCCATACACCCATTTGGGGCTTGGGGTTTAGTTTATAACAATAATAATGACTTTGGCACAGACAACTTCCCGAGGGTTAATGAATGACTGGCTTGGATTTGGATTAATAGCCCAAATCACTGCTGAAGTCTATCAACTCCTTCCAGCTTCATATTAACCTACAGGAACTTCTTTATATACCCAGCCATTACTGCTTGGATCTCACAAAATAAAAATGAATGGATGTTTCATTAGAACTTGGAAAAAACCTTGATCACCATTGTGGGTGGCCACCATGCAATATATATTACTATTATTTTTTTCCAGGCACATTTTCTGCATTTCCTCTGGTTCTCCTTCTGGCTTCAGTTTGCTGCAGTGGCAACAGCAGTAGCTGGCCCTCTAGACTAACATCTCCTTGCTATTTATAGTGTACTTTGCAACGCTCATTACTTCTTAACTGTGTCTTCCCAGATAGACTGGGAACTCCTTGAGGCCCGAGACAACCCGAAGACTCCCAGCTCACCAAAAACTGGCTACAGCAATCATTCAGTAACTATCTGTCGAATTGGACCTAACAGAATAGCTGCAGAATTTTAAGCAAGTCACCATCAGTGGATTCCTCAAAGCAAACCCGGAAATCTCGACATGAGTCTGATTTAAGGTAGTCCATTTTCAGCTCCTCAAAATGTGAACAGTTTCCCAAGAGAACAGCTTGAAACAGAAAGGGGAGGATGTAGATGTGATTGTAGAAGATGATATCTAAGGCACCAACTGTCCACTGTGAAGATAAATCATGCGTGGCTCGTTGCCAGTGACTCTCCTTCCTGTGGGGAGTCCCACTGCTTCCCTGGCCTGGGAGTTCTCTGCCAGTAGATGTTATTGACAAAATAAGTAAAGTCCCCTGATTCAGAGAATGAGAGTTTCTGAAAGCTCTAGATCGCCTCCGCCACGCTATTTACACTCCTGCTTTATTGTCCGATGCGAGTTCAACATCTATGAGGACTTGTCCAGTGCAAGTCCTGAAAGTTATCACCAGCACATCCTGTCACTGTGCTGTCGTGAGCTAGGCAGTACAATGATGTTGGCAGGACCCTGTTTAGGTGGAAGATGGCTACCTGGGCATCAAGAATCTTCTACTTTGATTCCACATTGGTTCCCCAAAGTGAGCTTCAGACAGCTCTTCACTGCATCTTCTGATTAAAGCGGCTGACGGGTGTCCCAGCTAGAGAAAAGTCCTGGGAGCAGTAGAGGTGTTAGTGGCTTTAAAACCAGGGGTGAAGATTGAGTTAGGAGGTTAGGCAGGAGGAGGAACAAAGGCTCAGAAAATGCTTGTTTCCTTCTGTTGTTCTTATGAGAGCTGATAAGGGGATTTCAGTTTTGGGGGAGAGCCTTGGAAGATAATGAGGGAATTTAATAAATAGCGGGACCTTTCCAACTTACATTTCCCAGTGTTTGTTGGATGGTACGTTAAAGGTTCCCAAAACAGAAAGGAAAGCTTGGTGACACTAAGTTCTGGCATGCTGTCATCTTCTGACTCGGGGTCTTGTGCTTCTGTTTTTCTATTTCTGACCAAGGACATAAAATGTGTTGTGACCTCTCAGATGGCATCATGTCCAAGCAGTAACTAACCAATGGAGTTTTCGTATGTAAACAAGTATTAAATAGTTCAGCAACAGGGAGGATTTCATGATAAATTGCTTTCTTCACAAAGGGACGGACACTTCTGCTTCTCTCATTGAGAGCTTTAAGGAAGTTAAGCAAAGCTCTGCTCACTCCTTCAAGTAATGATGACCCATCAGATTGCGGTCATAACCAGTAGCATCTGAACCACCCCTAACCTCTCTGGGCCCCAGATTCCTTGTGAAGTGAGGTGCCTTCCCAGTTTACCATTCTCGGGGTTCCTGAAGAGCTAAAAATGAAGGAGAAAATGCAACATGTACCAAGTAAGCAAGAGCTCAAGGCTGATGTCTGGCACAAAAGTGACCCCTGTCCATTAGAGATGTGCTTGCCCTAGGTTTCCTTTAGGAAATGCAGACCTTGAACCCCAGCCTTCAGGACCTGAGCCCTGGCTTGTATCTATTCTATATGCTTTCTGTTATTTGACAAGGCCCACAAGGGACAGTCATTTTTAAATTTTTGTTGTTTGTTTTTTGAGAGACGGAGTCTCACTCTGTCTCCCAGGCTGGAGTGCAATGGTATGATCTTGGCTTACTGCAACCCCCACCTACCAGGTTCAAGCAATTCTCTTGTCTCAGCCTCCTGAGTAGCTGGGACTATGGGTATGTGACATCAGTCCCAGATAATTTTTGTATTTTTAGTAGAGGTGGGGTTTCACCATATTGGCCAAACTGGTCTCGAACCCCTGATCTCAAGTGATCTGCCCTCCTTGGCCTCCCAAAGTGCTGGGATGGCAGATGTGAGCCAGTACACCCAACCCATTTGTTTTCTTTCCAGCCTTTCTGTAAGACCAGTACTTTAGGTGAACACCTGACCAGAACAAGATCATCACTGTATTGCAGTATGAAGACCAACTACACCATGGCCAGAGAAAACAGAGGCAAAGCGTTGAGCCTAATAATACCTTTTTATAATTTGTATTTGGTGTTTCTCAATTTCCTATTGGATAGTTTGAGAGATAAATACAAGTCAATGACATGTTCTCTTTCTTACCCTTTTCTCTTCCTCTGCTAACACACACACACACACACACACACACACACACACACACTGCTTACCTATTCCATCTGTTCCCCAATTATTACACTCTCAATTGCTGCCAAGTCTCAGAAGCAGCATGGTATATGGTATAACAGAAAGAATATGAGGCTTAGAATCCAAAAGCCAGAGTGTGAATTCCAGCTCCACTGACTTGCTGGGTGACTTGAAGCAAGTCATTAAACGTCTCTGTTTCCTCATTTTATTACTTTCCTATTGCCTCTGTAATATATCACCACAAACTTGACTTAAAACAACACTCATTTATTCTCTTAGCATTCTGGAGGTCAGAAGTCTGAAATCAATTTCATCGGGCTAAAATCGAGATGTTGGTGGGACCAAGATCCCGTGGAGGCTCTAGGAGAACCCATTTCCTTGTCTTTGCCAGCTTCTAACGCCGCATTCCTTGCATTCCTTGATTGGTGACCCCTTGCCCCATCTTCAAAGCCAGCAGTGCAGTGCCTTGTTTCATTGCCTTCTTTCCTGTCAAATCTCCCTCCGCCTCCTGCTTGTAAGAACACTTGGGGTTGCATTTAGATGCTGCTATGATAATCCAGAAGAATATCTTTATCTCAAGATCTTTGACTTAGTCTCATCTTCAAAGTCTCTTTTGCCACAGAGGGAAACACTCACAGGTCTCAGGGGTCAGGCTGTGTGCTTCTTTCTTCTGCCTACCACATTCATCTTTATTTATTTATTTTGAGATGGAGTCTTGCTGTGTCACCCAGGCTGGAGTGCAGTGGTACAGTCTCGGCTCACTGCAACCTCTGTCTCCCAGATTCAAGCAATTCTCCTGCCTCAACCTCCCAAGTAGCTGGAACTACAGGTACCTACCACCAAGCCTGGCTAATTTTTGTATTTTCTGTAGAGACAGGGTTTCACCATGTTGGCCTGGCTAGTCTTGAACTCCTGATCTCAAGTGAGTCACCTACCTTGGCCTCTTAAAGTGCTGAGATTACAGGCATGAGCCATTGTGCCTGGCCCCACATTCATCTATTAAGTAGAGCTAGAAACTCCTATCCTAAGGGACACAAAAATGAAAAAAGATAAAATCTGTGAAGAAGCACATAACGAAAGCCCATTCGTGTTGCTGAGTCTGGAGGAGGGAGGGTCTGACCTCCCATTGGCTGGTCTCTGCCCCGATGGACATCGTGAAGAATGAGAGAGCCAGGACTAGTGTGTCTGGGGGATATTCAGGGGTCAGGGTGGCTTCAGGTGCCAGCAGCCCTGGCCAAAGGACAACTCCAGGAGCAAGACTCAGACCCAGGTGGAAGATGCTTCAAGAAATGGCACCTGAGACAGGCATGGTGGTGTGTGCCTGTGGTTCCAGCTACTCAGGAGGCTGAGGTGGGAGGATGGCTTGAGCCAGGAGTTCGAGGCTTCAGTGAGCTACGATCACACCACTGTACTCCAGCCTAGGTGACAGAATGACACCCTGACTCTAAAAAGAAAAGGCACCTTGGATGCTCATGACTGAGGTGGGTGGGGGGTGGGGTGGGTGGAACAGTCTCACTTTATAACTTTGCTTTCATCAAGATGTGGAATAGTCTCCTACAGGGGAAAATTATGTTTACCACTTAGAGAGCTGACAGTTCTTGGTTACCCCATAATGCTGGACCCCTAAAATGCAGGCTTAACTCCCCCATCAAGGGCCTTAATGCATTTGGCGCCCTAGCCCTAGTGACAGCAGCAAATCTCCTTTTTCTGTTCCTTGAGCTGGTTGTTCACCAGGCAGTTGTGATGTTACATCGGGAGAGAAGACACACACAAGTGCCTCGTTTTCAGGAAGTTAGTCTGAGTCTGGTCACGTCCTCAGCAGGTTATTAATTGCTTTCAAACTCCTCCTCTCCCGCAAGTTTTATGATCCTGGGAATAAGATTCCCCCCAGCCTTCTCAAGGTCGTCTGGGGTTGGGATCAGTGCACGCAGCACTTCACTGGAATCATCAGTAGCCTTCCAGCCTCGAGGGGAGAGCTGCCAGTGGCCAGAGACGTTGGGAATTACAAGGGAGAAGCTAGCGAGAAGGAACTCATAGTCCCTTGGTGTCTGAAGGTGGCTCCTGGCAGGGAAGCCAGGAGGGGGGGCCGGTCCTAGGTCGGAACTCTCCCAGAGAATTCCAGGGGTCCCCCCAAGATCCAGTCACAACATGAGGACTTACTGCTGGGCTCTTGCTCAGATGTGCCTGTAAATTCATATCACAGATGCCTGATGCATTTGACATTTGTTTCACTGCTTGAGCCCAACTGATACTCTTTCAGTCACTTTAAGGGAGTGATTTCACGTATGATCATTGCCTCAAATCTGTATGGCTTTCCTTGCCTTTGAGGTGCTTTAAGAGGACTTGTGTCCTTCCTCAGAGGCCCTGGAGGCCCCGGAATGTGTGTGTATAAATTCACATACGCTCTAGAGAATAATAAAGACATATGTGGGGTCCGTCTGATTCACACTGATGCCCATGATCATTGGTCCACACAGGTCATCAAGGAGTGATTTTCCCTTGGAAGCTCCAAGCAAAATGTCAACTCCAGCATTCCACACGGCTCTGGGCGCTGCTCTCCTTTTCCTCTGCAAAGATGCTGACCTGCTAGTGGTGAATGCTCTTGGGGTTTTGTTTGTAGGTTTTTTTCTTGTCCCAAATGTCTATATTTCAACTTCACTCTTAAAGGATATTTTTCATGGGATCTAGGCTTTTCTTTTGGATTCCAATGTGGCTTTGAAAAAAGTCTGTTGACTATTTATGGCTTCTTTAAAGGCGATCTCTTTCTTCCTATGACTGTTCTGAAAGTTTTCCTGGCTGGATGGGGTGGCTCATGCCTGTAATCCCAGCACTTTGGGAGGCTGAGGCGGGCAGATCATGAGGTCAGGAGTTCAAGATCAGCCTGGCCAACATAGTGAAACCTTGTCTCTACTAAAAATACAAAAATTAGCTGAGCATGGTGGCACGCACCTATAATCCCAGCTACTTAGGAGGCTGAGGAAGGAGAATTGCTTGAACCCAGGAGGCAGAGGTTGTGGTGAGCAGAGATCACACCACTGCACTCCAGCGTGGGCAACAGAGCGAGCCTCCGTCCCAAAAAAAATAAAATGTTTTCCTTCCCTCCCTCCTTCCCCACTACCCCATCACTCTTCCTCCCTTCCTTCCTCCCTCCCTCCTCCCTTGTCTTCCTCCCTTCCTCCCATCCTCCCTTCCTCCCTCTTTCCTTCCTTTTTTCCTTTCTCCCACCCTCCCTCCTTCCTCCATCATGATATATTAAAATATTTTCTTTTGGATCTTTGCTTTTTTTTACTTCTTTTGATACTGCCATTAAATGGATGTTAGGTCACCTTACTGTATATTCAAAGTCAATTACCCTCTCTTTTGGGTTTTAATCTTTCTGTCTCCTTATACTGCAATCTGGATGTTTCTTCTGCTTTAATTTTGGTATACAAATTCTTCAGCTGTGTTCAAAGTGTGGTTAAAGCCATTTATATGGCTTTTAATTGTAGTTATTGTACTTTCACCTCTAAAAGTTCTTTTGAGTTCTTCTTTT